GGAGCTGCGGCGCAAGGCCGAGAGGAGCCGCCAGAAGCGGCGGCGGAGGAAGCGGCTGCGGGAGGAGGCCCGCGCGGCCCGCGAGGAGGAGGCGGCCCGCAAGGCCGAGCGGGAGGCGCGCATCGACCGCTGGAGGGCCCGGCGCGCCCAGGAGGTGGAGGAGAAGCACCGGGTGGGTGGTCCGGCTTCGGGCCGCTCTCTCTCACGCACACACACCACAGCCGAGCCTACCTCACGGGGTTGCTGTCGAGAGGCTTTGGCTGGGTGGGCGGGGGTAAAAATCTAAGGAAATAAATAGACTATCTTTTTAAAAAAACAGAGAGAGAGAAAAAAATAATGTCCCACTGATTGGAAATAATGTTTTACTGATGGGGAGAAATGATTTGTAGCAGTGCTCCCTCTAAGCTGAGTTAGTGTGAGCCAGCTCACAGTTTTTTAGCCTCCGGCTCACACCTTTTTGTCTCAGCTCAGGAAGGATGGGGCTCCAGAGCAAACTAATTTATGTAGTAGCCTAATCACTTGCTCACAATTTTAATGCCAGGAGCTCACGAAGGAGAATTTTTGCTCACAAAACTCCGCAGTTTAGAGAAAACACTGGTCGAGAGGGATTTTTTTTTTTTAAGGGAAATAAGGTTTTACTGATTCGGAAGGAATTCCTACTACCAAGCAATGTTCCCTCTAAGCCGTGGAGTCTTGTGAGCAAAGATTCTACTTTGTGAGGTCCTGGCATTAAAGTGGTGAGCCAGCGATTTGGCTGCTGCATAAATCATTTTGCTCTGGAGCCCCATCCTTCCTGAGCTGAGACAAAAATGTGTGAGCCAGAGGCTAAGAAACTGAGCTAGCTCACACTAACTCAGCTTAGAGGGAACACTGGTTGTCAGCGTAAAAAGGAGGAGAGGATTAACCATTCTGCCCTAAAGCTCGTTGGGTGTCGAGGCACTGGGTCAGGCAGGGTTGTTGTAAGGATGAAATGGAAGAGGGAAGCGTCACAGACACTGTTCTGAGTTCGCCTGAGGAACAGTGAAATAAAAATATCTAGTGGATTCTTTATTTTATTTTACAAAATTTATATATCTCTTCTTTCTGCCCTCACAGGTGCCACCAAGACAACTAATAAAATAAAACATAACATAATAAACGCACATTTTAAAACCAGTGGAATGCGCACATGCATGTCAAACTAGGCTTAGGAGATCTGAGTTCAAATTCCACCACTGCTGTGAAACCCACTAGGTGACCTCAGGCCAATCACTGTCCTTCACAGGGGTGTGCTGAGAATGAAATGCAATGGGCATGGACCTACTAACGTCCTTAAGCTTCTTGGAGAGGAACTGGGTTAGATTGTTAGAAGCTATGATGGTTAGAAAACTGACTGATGCACTGCTATTGGGGTGAAAGCCTCCTCATTCCGCCAGCATGCCACGGAAGTTATATTTCAGTGAGGAACTTAGGGGAACTTCAGATAAACACGCCTAGGATTGAGCTGTAGGGGGAAGAACTTAAAAACTGGAGAAGTGGGAGTATGTGTAAAAGGGACCTTGCTCACAAACCAGTGGGGAGGTTATCAGCCCAAATTTGGTCAGTTCCAAGCCACCTGGAAAGTCAGTACCAAGCAGACAATACTAACCTTGATAGATAATGGTCTGACTTGGTATAAATGTGAATTCAACAACGAGATGAAAAGGATGTGGTAGTTGTAACTCCCAAACGTGTATGAATCTGTTCCGGTCTTAGCACATTGGTTTTAATGGGCAAGAAATTCTGCATGGGATCTGGTTTTAATGGGCAAGAAATTCTGCATGGGATCTCATTTTTAATGCAGCGTATGCCACAAAAGAATGGCTGGTCTGGATGTCTTGTTGGCTCACATAGGGTAGAGCAAGCTAGTGCTTGGCAGGAGCAAAGGATTAACCTAGCAGAGTTGAGTGAGATGCTGGTGGTCCTTTATTTCTGTGCTTTCATCGCTGAGATTTTATTCGGTTGCCTGGAGAACTCAGGGTGGGGGTGAAACCCTGAAACTTTGGGGCAAAACCTGGTAATCACACCTCCAGTGCCTGTTTTAAGTTTTTGGTACATCATGTTGATTCCTATAAGAAAATAAGTCTTTGGGCAACCTGCATTTTCAGAAATTGAAATTCTTAAGTGTATGGCGAGATGAAGGGGAGTCTATGGATAGAGCTTGCTGATGTTAGCCTTGGCTCTGCTTATGTCAGGTTTAATGCTAGAATGTCTGAATTAGAAGTAACTACTAGGTGATCGGAGTATTCATGTTTTTGACTAATTCATGGGGTATGGATCCATCAACAGCGACAAGCCACAAGTGCCAAATGGAACATGCGGGTCTGGCAATGTCAGAGGCTGAAGCCTTGGAAATAGGGGTAGGAAGGCTGTTTCCGTCCTGCTGTGCTCGTGGGCTTTTTGTAGGCCCTGCTGGTCTAGAGTCTGACCCACCTGAACAAGTTCCTTTGTTCTCACTCATTCTCTTAATAGATTTTATTTCATTTTAGGAGCAAGAACTTAAAGCCGCTGCAGATAGCGTGTTGTCTGAAGTAAGGAAAAAGCAAGCAGATACAAAGCGGATGGCGGAAATACTGCGTGGCTTGGAAAAACTGAGGAAGCTAAGAAAAGAAGCAGCAGCAAGAAAAGGTAAATATCCTGGGCTTTGGGGTATGTGGAATCACAGATGGCTCTGTGCTTTTCTGTGCTTTGTGTATGCACTGAAGCACTTGTAGAGAGCCTTTGGTGTCCCTTCTTTTTGTTTTAATTGAATATTACATTATGCAGAAACAGAGTTTAGAAGAGCAAATGAAAAGCACTGCAGTGAGGAGGGATTTTTTGGTATCTCCTTGGTAAAAATAGTTGCATCCTTTAAAACTGTGGAGATGTATTGCCAGTTTGGTGTAGTGGTTAAGTGTGCGGACTCTAATCTGGGAGAACCAGGCTTGATTCCCCACTCCTCCACTTGCACCTGCTTTAGTGACCTTGGGTCAGTCACAAGCTCTGGCACAGCTGTCCTTGAATAAGAGCAGTTTCTGTCAGAGTTCTTTCAGCCCCTCCTGCCTCACAGGGTGTCTGTTGCGGGGAGGAGAAGGGAAAGGAGTTTGTAAGCCGCTCTGAGTCTCCTTTGGGTAGTGAAGGGCAGGGTATAAATCCAGTCTCTTCTTATTCCATAGCTTTTAATTTCCTTAAGTTCAAAGTAAATACACAGTATAAACATGAACAATAGCTTTTTTACAGTGAGCATGTATAAATGAGTAGTAATAATATCCCTTCGGAAGGGCTCTTGAGAAATGGAAAGGAACACCACTTGGTAATAAATGTCTCTGGGTTTTTTTGATAGCTTAATTTGGTGGATGGGTTTTTCTGTGAATGTCATCCTCCAGACACTTTGCCTTGTCAGATTTCTCGTGCTTACATTGATTATTTGTCCTTCCTCGCTTCTTATTATATGGGAAGGGGCTGTGGCTCAGTGGTAGAGAGTCCTGCTTTGCATACAGAAAGTCCTAGGTTCAATCTCCGGCATCTCCAGGTTAAAAAAATCAGGTAGTACATGATGGGGAAGACCTCTGCCTAGGACCCTGGAGAGCTGCTGCCAGTCGGAGTACTCAATACTAGCCCTGATGAATCAAGGTTCTGATTCAGCATAAGGCAGTTTCAGGTATTCAAGACATGCGTGCCAAAACTTTATCCTCTGGGGCTGGGACCTTGAACAATTTGGGAAAGTCGTTGTGGACATTTGCATTCTGATATGTGAAGTGAATCTGTTTAATTTTTGATACAGGAGTCTGCCCACCCCCTGAAGCAGATGAAGCCTTTGAAAATGAAGTCCAGAGCTTAAGAACGCTGATTAAAAAGCGCACCGAGGTGTACGAAGCCGAAGAACGAGCGCTGCGGGTTATGCTAGAAGGAGAACAGGAGGAGGAGAGGAAAAGAGACCTGGAGAAGAAACAAAAGAAAGAAAAGGAGAAGCTGCTGCAGCAGAAACGAGAGATGGATAGCAAGCTCTTTGGGAATCCAGGTGAGGGGATGGGGACTTTAGATACAGAGAGATTCTAACAATCAACCCAGATTTGAAGTAGCTTATAATGAACCTTTTGTTACATACTTGGCTTTTAAATTTCAAAAAGCCCTAATGTGAAATCACCAAGATTCCCCCTCCTTGCCCATTTTTGTATGTTTCTTAGTTTCCATAAAACCCCCTGCCAGGCCTCTGGCGGGGTATGCTATAGCTCAGAAGTGTCAAACATGCAGCCCGGGGGCCACATCAGGCCCCCAGAGGACCTCTATCAGGCCTGCAGTGAAACTGGCTGTCGCCTGCTTCTTCTTCCAGTTCTGCTGCTGCTGCGTCATCATAGGTTTGCAGTTTACAGATGCACACCTGAACAGCATACTCAAGATTGCAACAGCACAGTCATCTTGATGCAATAATTCAGAGCAAGAGGTGTCAGTTATCAGACACTGTTAAATAAGCAAAATATTGCAAGGGGGCTAATATTTTAACCATGTTTTTATTTTAAGTAAAAAAAAAACAACCCTTTGTGTTTGTGTCCTTTATAAAGTTTATATCTTCGCTACCTAGCATTACATTTTAGGATACGTATGTCCTGGCCCAACAAGGTCTCATTTATGTCAGATCCGGCCCTCATAACGCATGAGTTTGACATCCCTGCTATAGCTGTTTCTGAAGCTAGGCTTTAGCATGTTCTGTGACTAATGCATTCGGGGGAAATAGGTGAGAGACGCTAGCCTTTATGACTGTGTCTTATTGCTGGGCTTTGATATCATTTCTTCTTTACGTTCTGCAGAGGAATTTCCCCTTTATCACTTTTTGGAGCCGTTCAGACAATATTATCTACAAGCTGAATATTCAGTGCCAGCTCTCATCCAGATAAGGTAAGAGAGAGCAGCCTCTTCTAAAAGCAATCTAGGTTTATTGGGTAGTGTGATTTCATGTAATTGCCGTGTCCTAGTCTTCAGTTGAGCTTCAGCTACTTAGCTATGCTTCCGTCAAACATATTTGTTACAGCAGATTCAGGTGGGGTAGCCCTGTTGGTCTGAAGCAGCAGAGCAAGGTTGGAGTCCAACGGCACCTTTAAGACGAACAACGTTTTATTTAAGGCATAAGCTTTTGTGTGCAAACTGACAAATTGGAACACAGTTTCTTCAAGCCTTACATACGGGAAGATGGTGGAGGGTGGAAGCGTCAGGAAGGACCAGTCAGAGTTAAGATGCGTAAGTGAAACTGAGATTGGGTGAAGGCGGCAAGATCAGTGAATGACAGCGAATGAGCACATAAATGCGAGAGCTAAGAAACAGGTGCGAGGATGAAACCTGTGTCCAGCGGCACCCCCAAGATCAGGGGTGGCCAAAGTTGCTTAACATAAGAGCCACAAAGAATAAACATCAGATGTTTTGAGAGTCGCAAGACGTGAGCAAATATGACACACAAGTTTTTATTGGAAAATATGCAAATTTGCTTTTTATTAGTATTAAATGAGACTGCCAAAAATAAAAACGAAAGGGGTAAAAACAGATATTGATAATGATACTTATTTGTCCAATGGTATTTACTTGTCAGAGAGAAAGAGAGAGAGAGGTGGAAAGAAAGAATGAAAGAGGTGGAGAGAAGGAAGAAGAAGAAGAGATTGGATGTATACCCCGCCCTTCACTTGGAGTCTCAGAGCGGCTTACAAACTCCTTTCCCTTCCCCTCCCCACAACAGACACCCTGTGAGGTGGGTGGGGCTGAGAGAACTCTGACACAAACTGCTCTTTTTCAAGGACAGCTGTGCCAGAGCTTGTGACTGACCCAAGGTCACATCAGCAGGTGCAAGTGGAGGAGTGGGGAATCAAACCCGGTTCTCCCAGATTAGAGTCCACACACTTAACCACTACACCAAACTGGTGTAATGAGAGAAAGAGAGCAAATAGATGGGGGGAGGGAGGGACAGAGAGAGAGAGAGAAAGAGAAAGAAAGATAGAAAATAGATGGAGAGCCTTCTGGGAGCCGTACAATAGGTGTGAAAGAGCCGCATGCGGCTCCCGTGCCACAGTTTGGCCACCCCTGCCCAAGATCAACCCTGGGTACCTCTGAGAACAGACTATGCATGTGTAGATGCACACTTCTTCAAATGTATAGAAACAGATTTCCTCAAATATTACATACAGGTAGGGGGGTTTACTTGCCAGTAAGAGCTAATTCAAGTCGAGATGCATAAGTAACTGAGCAGCAAGCAGTTACTGTTTAATAAACAGTAGTTACTGTCCAACTGTAAACAGGATTGCCTGACAGTTTCCTCCATAACGCCATTGACAGAGCTGTTTGGGGCACCAAAACCACCACTTGCCCCAAATGTGGCACAGGCCCCGCCCCTTTCCCAGTCTCTGCTGTAAAGTGTGCTATAAAGTGAGCCAGTTTGGTGTAGTGGTTAAGTGTGCGGAATCTAATCTGAGAGAACCAGGTTTGATTCCCCACTCCTCCACTCGCAGCTGGTGGATGACCTGGGGCAAGCCATAGTTCTGTCAGAGCTGTTCTAGAAAAGAGCAGTTCTTGAAGGAGCTCTCAGCCCCACCTACCTCACAGGGTGTCTGTTGTGGGGAGGGGAAGGGAAAGAAGTTTGTAAGCCGCTCTGAGACTCCGAATGAAGGGCAGGGTATAAATCTGATCTCCTCTTCTTCTTCGCTAATGGCTGCCACTGACTCCCCTGGCAAGAGTCAGCACTGCTCTTGGAGGTACTGTGGTGGTAGGTGCCAGGCCTGCCCCTAACACTGCCGTGGCCTGGGTGCTCACATAGTATTCTCTTTCCAGTACCTACAGGGAGCCCCCTCATGCCCTTTCTGCTTGACATTTGAAGCATGATGCTGGAGAAGCCTCATTTGGCTTTGCATTAGCATGCTGTCTCAAGCAGACTGTAGAAAAGAGCGAGAGTCCAGTAGCACCTTAAATTAAAGACTAACAAAATTTGTGGCAGGGGAGGAGCTTTTGTGAGACACCGTTCACTTCTTCTTCACTTCTCTTGCTCTTTTCTACTGCTACAGACATGGCTGTACAGACTGCTAACATGGCTACCCGTCTTGATTATCAAGTATCAAGACTACTTGATACACCAGTTTAAACTAGAGCATGGGAAACACGGCCTTTGCTTCAGCCAGCTTTGTGCTTAAGTCAGACCTTAGCTGTGTCCCTGCTGGACAGAGACGGTTCGAGGTAACAAATCAGCCAGATGCTCAATTCATTGCTTCCCTTTTTGTTAAAGGCATGAATGGGACCGGTTCCTGGTGCCAGCAGATCACCCAGAAGGAAGTTTCATCGCACCAGGATGGGTCCTCCCGAGTCCGCCTTCCAGCGACATTTGGGCCACAGCCGTTGGCTGATGCCGCCGAGTCCTGACAGAGCCCTGGAGGACGCGATGAAGTACCTTTCACAAACCCATCTGGTGTTAAAACACCTCTTTCTGTTTTCATTATAAAGCCCAGAGACACAAGGCAGACTGAAGTGTTATAAGACAGTATGAAACCATGATTGTCCCGGTGCTGGGGAGTTCTGTTGCTAGTCTTATTTTTAAGAAGAGTTTGGTTTGAAGAAATGTATCATGATTCCATTGCAGATTATTTGCATCTGTGGTGCAGCTGTGCACTTTAAAGCCAAAACATTTGCCCTCAGAATTTTTCAAGTCACAGAATGATGCTGCCTTTAATTTTAAGAAGATACCAGCTGCTTATTGGCGGCCAGCCCTCAGTTAAGAACCTGTGCTGTTAACCGTGTCCTACTGAGGCCAAGTACAGTCTTCAAGCCATGCAGCAAACACAGCTGCTACATATTATTGCACGTGTTTCTAATAATCTGCTCTTTTCTGGAAAATCAGTGTTTCTAATCCAAAAACAGTCTAATCAAAGGCAGTTAATGAACCCCTTAGAGGTGCACCCATGTTCTCAAGTTACTGCTATGTTTCTGGTCTTCCAGTTTTAAAAAAACTTCTCTGATTATTTTGGCCTTATACATAGTGAATTAAGTGAATCGGCAGATGTGAGTAATTATCACTTCATTGCAAGTTTGGCTTTAAACATTTAAAAACACTTTGAGGCAAAGTTGAGAGAATTACAGGCAGCATTGCCGTTTTCCTGGAGCATATTACACCTAGGTTTTCGTTTGTACAAGGGAAGCTCTATATAATTGAGAAAGCCATCACTTTTTCTATGATCAAATTGGGAAAACTAGAGAAGACGTGGTACTGGTTGGAGTAATGTGAGTTTGATTGTACCTGCATGGAATGGAGCAATGAATGTTAAATATCTCACACAGCTCCCTAAAACAAATGTTAGTGGCACATTCTCCGTGGCTGCTGGAATTTCTGCATTGAAGGTTATTGTGTTTCGGCAAAGAACAAACAAACAGCCATTTGGATGGATGAGCATAATTAAGAAGTGGAATTTCTCCATTGGCCTGGCAGTGGAACCATTGAAGCCACATAGTATCTGTTGGACAAGATGTGTGGCCTCCAGTTATCCTCGACTTTTACTGAACTGTGCGATAAGTCATTGGTATACATTATATTAATTCCATTTTTTCATTATATGAAATGTCTGCTCAATCTTTACTTTGTAAAGACTTTAAAAACACAAGCCATGTTCCTGCGAGAACATAGATATGTGTTGTTTTTTATTTGTAGTGTAAGCCACCAGGGAGCTTTAACCTGGCAGATGACAAAAATTAAACCTGTCTCGACTCTGACTGTGTACCAGGGTCGTGGGTAGCTGAATCCCCTGGTCCAAAATTGGCTTTAGTTTAATACTTGAATGTCATCCAAACATGATGTAATTGATGACCCTAATGCAAGGTGGTAAATTGTCAGAGTTGTTTGCAATGCTATATTTAATAAACTCTGGGGGTTATTTGTGATTTCAAAAATAAAATAACATTTCACAGTGTTTGCAGCTGTCTCTTTGTTTTGCTGATCCCCCCCCTCCCTCCCCCCGGGTTTCAGTACAGGAAGTGCACAACTCCTTTAATAATGGCTGGTGTTGAAAAATGTAGGAGGTGGTGTTGCTGCAAACCACAGTATGAAAACAAAGAAGGTTTGCGCTTTCTTCACTTGTTTATTTTTGTTTATTTAAAACTTTTATTAGCCGCCTTTCTTGCCTCACAGAACTCAGTGCTGCTTTTAACGTAAATGAAATAGCATCTGTAAAAATACATGACATTTCCTGTGACAAACATTATCCGTGCCTTTTGCTTCTTGCTGTACAGGGATATGCGTGATTGTTCTGAAGCAGCTACAGTGAATCGTATCTTTGATAACCAGCAAGAGAGGCAAGTCATTGGATTTGTATATTAACCAGCAGTTTCTTGAGTAAGCAGCTGGGCCGGGCTTCTCATTTTATCGGGAGAAAGGCGAGCCTCATCTGTTAGCTTTGGAAACGTGAGCGAATCATTCACCTGACTCTCCATGTAAGCCCTTAAAGCTCTGAGTGTGGGATAAATAGCCACTGCCAGTAGCCAATGAGACACCTGTCTCTTGCAGGGCAGAGAGCCGGATGATTCTTTTCTAAGGTAAGCCTAACCGCACAGACAGTACGAGCAAGATGAGATGGAAAATGGAAAGAGATTTGAGGTGGTTTCATTGTGTCGTAGCTTGTTGGTATTGCTGCCATGAACTATCGACAAAAGCCTACATAGGCAAAAGTCTGAGCGTGCTATTCCTGTAGGCTTCAAAAGCAAAAGAATGGTCCCGAATCGTCCAAAACAATTGTAATCACCCCTGGATGTCTTCTTTTATGCCTCCTGCGCTTCTCCGGGCGATCGTGCGTTGAACTCTGCCACTGGGAAGTAATCGTGTCCTGATACTTTTTATCTGTTGGTCTTGCCCTCATATTATTTTTTTAACGTGGTTGTTACCGTGAACTGCAATTGGAATTGAAAAACTGCTGGAAGGGGTCAAGCGCACATCTTTTATGGCTGGGATGTTCTGCAGAAATCTGGTGTTTGTGTAATAATTTTCTTTTTGGGACATGAGCTGCTTGGTAATTTGAGATGAGAAGCATGAATGCTCATCGTATTCTTACCGTGGTTCCTCATGGGTTATAATGCACCTAATAAAGAATGCCGGTCTCCTAATAATATCCATCACTTCAAACTCAAGTTAGTATTTATAATATTTGCATGGGTGCCTTTGGGCTTCTCTTTAAGGGTCGAAGGTACCACTTTGTTTTAAGAATCATGTAGCATTTCCACTGCTGGATTCATCTCCCTGCCGTTGGTGTGTCTAACCGACAGTCGTGTGAATTTCCAGTGTTTGTAGGCGTCTGTGTAGTAGAGTTGTCACTCCACAGCTTTATAGTTGTACACGGATCCTTCCATCTGAATTGACTGGCAATACCCTACTGCAGTTGAATTTCTCAATGCTCATTCAGTGGTACTTGGTCTCCTGAACGCTGCGGTTGTGCTGTGAGGTTTACATTAGGGATAGCTAGGTGTGTAAAATTCTGGACGCCGGTGAAACCAGCTTTGCCACCATGCTCTAGAGTTTCTGGTTGTCCCTGTGACTGCCTTTGGTGCCTCTCCAGTGATGCAGGAATTAGTGTAAAAGAGTAAAGTCTCCTCCCCCTGAAATCTTAAGAACACTGTGACATAAAATTGTGGCTGAAAGAATTGGAATTTGGCTGGAATTCTCATAAGATTAGTTATTCCGAATCCAAAGTCATCAATGAAGTCCAAGAGAGACAGATCTACTGGTGCTGAGCTTCCTCTAAACATTTGATAAAAATGAATTGAATATTAGAAGCCCCAAATGGAAGAAGGGGGGGGGGGGGGGTCCAGGATAAATTGTAGCCATCCCTTTCATAAATCGGCTAGCAGGAAGGGCAGGACTGTGTTTGGAAAAACCAGGGTTTGGCTTACACTTATTCTTTCATACGGAAAAATGAAATCGGGCACAAGGAGCCTGAAGAAAAGATACACACTTGACTGTCCAAAACAGCCCCGTGTGTCATGTAACAAGGTTGCATGAAACTGCAACTTGCTGGTTGCAGTTTTGAATGCGAGAGCGAGACGGGGGTGAAACTGCAGCTGGGTATACTGATCCTCAGCCCACGTAATTTTATATTCGCCATTTGATTTTCTTCGGATAAATGGGAGAGCTGTTAGTTCTGTAAAGGCAGAGGAAAGCTGTCCCTTTGCCCGTCCTCCCCCCCCCCCCCCAGAAAGCATCCTTTGCCCCGTCCCTGACATTCTCCATCCCCCGCCCCCGCCGCCCATTTAAGTAGGTCTGACCTGAGTGCACATAGGCTATTCTCGTAATGATTATCCTGCTGCATCAGAAGGGAAGTACACATGAGTGCAATTAATAGCTTTATGTCTTGCTCCTGTAAGTAGCTTGACGGTCACGGGGAAGTCGCAGCAGAAGCACCAGTAGCACCTAATGTCAGAACCCACAGCCAACAACGAAGTACATGCATTCAGGAACAGTAATACTTTTATTGCAGAGCTATAGATGCAGTAACATAAGCACTGTTAAGAATGGCGGCAGCCCCATGGGCATAATAGGATATAGGGTATTCGTATGCACCCCCCCACACACACACAGCACTGGCCAATTAGGCACCCTCCCGCACGCGGGATAAAGCTTGGAGACCGTTAGGTAGCTAAAGCTGAGAACTAACACTCTCCCACAGCACCTAGGAAAAACCCAGACAATACAACTCCCTCCTGCACATCTGTATAGATAAGTATTTTGGCGCAAAGCAGGAAAAGCACAGAAAGGAATGCAGTAGCAGTTAACCAGACACAGACCGAGCTCCCCAACCCCCATGGCAGCATAGCTGACACCTTAAAGGCCAGCAAAATTTGTGGCAAGGCGGGAGCTTTCACGAGTCACTGCTCCCTTCTTCAGGGAAAGTGGCGCGATCGTAATCTTCTTGAGTCTGTTTTGTGGAGAAAGGCAAGGTAAGAGGGCTTTAAAGAACAGGTTCTCAGTCTGCTCTGAGGCCGATTATAAAAGTCCTATTCAACTCCCTCTTCTGCTTCCTTACAACAGGAAATCTAAAATGGGCTCGTGTGCGTAACTTCATCCCTTATCAGTCACTTTGTGTCTCTCCTGCCTTTTTGATTCAGAGGGATCTCTAGTTTTACACAGAAGAATAAAACCTGTCCAAACCTGGACTAAAAATGTACGGTAAACCCAAAAGGCCAATAAAAGGAAGTGGCCAAAAGAGATGGTCTGTGTAGCTAGCTTACCACCTCCAAGGGGTTTGGGACACAGAAATTGGTTTTGATGGCGTCTGCTGCCTCCTTTCCACCCTCTTCCGCCTCCCCTCCCCCATGATAGCACAGCTTAGCTTACGCCGGACTGCTTTTGACGTCTGAGCAGATGGTCTGGTCCCTGGCTAGGCTTCCAGGAGCGTTGCTTACGGGGTGTGCTCATGGAAGCACACGTGCCGCAGGGTGAAGCCAGTTACTGTCCATCCAGCTTCTTCACTGACGTGCCCGGGATCCCTGACCTTCGCATTACTCCCCTGGCTATAAACTCTTTGAGGTGATAAATGTTGGCTTAGTTTGGTTGTAAATAGTCTGTAGGGGAGAACTTGATCGTTTCCTCCTGGCTAAAGAATATTTGGAAAGTAGGTCAGGGACGGCGGCGGCAAGATACAGTGCGCTGTCAAGCACCTCCTGAAGCTAGTTTGATTCGGGCGTCACCAGTTCTGTTCGGGTGGCGAGTCAGTTTCGCTTCAGCTCTAGGGGAGGCAAAGTCAATGAGAAAGGGATTGTTTATGGGACCAGTAGAGAAGAGATTGGATTTATACCCCGCCCTTCACTACCCAAAGGTGTCTCAGAGCGGCTTACAAACTCCTTTCCCTTCCCCTCCCCACAACAGACACCCTGTGAGGTAGGCGGGGCTGAGAGAGCTCTTGACAGAAACGGCTCTTTTTCAAGAACAGCTCTTATCAGAACTACGGCTTGCCCAGGGTCATCCAGCCAGGTGCAAGTGGAGGAGTGGGGAATCAGACCTGGTTCTCCCAGATTAGAGTCCGTGCATTCGATTAGATTAGAGTTCCAGCTCCTGCCAACCTAGCAGTTCGAAAGCAAGAAATTGCAAGTAGATAAATGGGTACCACATTGGTGGGAAGGTAACAGCGTTCCATGCGCTCTACATTTATCTACCTTAAAGGAAAACCAGGGTGTTTTTTCCCCTTCCTCTATGTGCCATCAACCAAAAAGAGGGGGCACTTAAATTTGCATACAAGCTACTGTTAGGCGATGAGAATAAATAAAAGGCAGTTAAAAAGGTAAAGGTTTCCCTTGTTCGAAAGCTAGTCAGATCAAATTCTAGGAGGTGGTGCTCATCTCCGTTTCCAAGCTGAAGAGCCAGCGCTGTCCGAAGACGTTTCCGTGGTCATGTGGCCGGCATGACTAAACGCCGAGGCGCACAGAACGTTGTTACCTTCCCACTGAAGCGGTATCTATTTATCTACTTTCAGTTTCTTGCTTTCGAACTGCTAGGTTGGCAGGAGCTGGGGCCAGAGACGGGAGCTCACTCCGTTATGCAGCACTCGGGTCTCGAACTCCCGAACTACAGACCTTCCGGTCTGCAGCTCAGCGTCTTAACCTCTGAGCCACCGCGGCCCCAAAAGGCAGTTAGGCAAAGTAAATTAAAAACCTTGAGTTTATATATATTTTTAAATAGTGGGATCGTCTTACATTCAGGGTCGTCTTCCTTACCTACAGGTAAACATGAATTTATCTAAGCCAGACTCCTGCAACTTCGCCATATACAGTATGAGGATTATAACACAAAGTGGGAAGAATTGCAACCAAATAGCACATCAGAGGCCGTTCCGTCATAATGGCAGTTGTGAATTTTACTGCTTTGCCCGAAGTTGCTGAATTCTGGGTCAAGAGAAGCTCAGCAAAACTGCCGTTTGCATGCTTCTATGCCAACATCTGATGGTCCAATAAGAGTCTGATTATATAAACAGAGATCCCCGGTTTGCCTTTTTTTCCTGTCCCATTCTGTGGGAACCAGCCCACAATCACACTCACTTGGACTAATACGGTGACTCTGTTTAGTATTGCACTGTAAGAGATCAACCACCAGAGTTTAGTAAAATAAATAAAGTATTTGAAATACGAGAAAGGAAAATAAATTAAGAAGAGCCCTGCTGGATCAGACCAGCATCCTGTCTCACACAGAGGCCAACCTGTTCCTCTGGACAGCCGATAACAGGACATAGAGACTGAGGCCTTCCCCGATGTTGCCTCCTGGCTCGGATTCAGAGGATTAGTGCCTCTGAATGTGGAGGTTCCCCTCAGTCACCATGGCTAGTAGCCATGGATAGATTTATCCTCCATGAATCTATCTGTAAGAACATCAGAAGAGCTCTGCTGGATCAGACCAGTGGTTCATCTAGCCCAACATCTCACACAATGGGCAGCCAGTTTCCATGGATGGCCAACAACAGGGCACAGAGGCCAAGGCTTTCCCCTGATGTTTCCTCCTGTCTCTGGGATTCAGAGACTTAGTGCCCCTGAATGTGGAGGTTCCCCTCAGTCACCCTGGCTACTAGCCACGGACGGACTTATCTTCCATGAATCAGTCTAATACACTTTTAATGCTTATTCCTGTGGCCATCACTACCTCTTCCAGCAGCGAACTCCGCATTTCAGTCACTCTCTGTAAAGTGGTATTTCCTTTTGTTCGTCCTGAACCTATTGCCCATCAGCTTCATCAAAGAAGAAGAAGAAGAGATTAGATTTATACCCCGCCCTTCACTTGGAGTCTCAGAGCGGCTTACAAACTCCTTTCCCTTCCCCTCCCCACAACAGACACCCTGTGAGATCAGTGGGGCCGAGAGAGCTCTGACACAAACTGCTCTTTCAGGAACAGCTGTGCCAGAGCTTGTGACTGACCCAAGGTCACATCAGCAGGTGCAAGTGGAGGAGTGGGGAATCAAACCCAGTTCTCCCAGATTAGAGTCCGCGCACTTCACCACTACACCAAACTGGCATGCAATGTTAGCTGTGCTTCAGAGTGTTGAGTGTGGGCCCCTTAAGAGAATGCAGTGGTCACATAAGTCTTGATGGCTTCCCTACAGCTCGTTGTCAGGAGCTGGTGCTTGGCCAGCAACTTCTCTCTTCTCTGATGAAGGCAGCTTTGACTCTCAAAAGCTAAGGTGCTTCTGGATTCGAATCCAGCCTTTCTACTGCCGACCAGCATGGCTACCCTCTGAAACGAACTTCTCCCAAGTCTGTCCCAATATCTGTAGGAGGTGGAGCATCTGCCTGGCATGCTGAAGGTCCCAGGTTCAAATTCCAGCATCCCCAGTTCAAAGGAAAAGGCAGCAGATGACAGGGAAGGCCGGAGAGTAGCGGCCAGTCGAAGTAGACAACGCTCATCTTGGCCGACCAACGGTCTGACTCGGAAGGCAGCGTTCTTTATTTGCTTACTTCATTTCTGCCCCTCCTTTCTCTCCAAAGCGGCTGACATCATTCTCCTCTTCGCCATTTTATTTATTTATTTATTTATTTAAATTATTTATTGAGATTTATACCCCGCCCTCCCCGCAGAAGCAGTAGAACGGCTTACAAGGGGCAAAGCCCATATAAAACAGATAAAAACAATATAAAAACATTAATAACAATTGTACTCGATTTAACAAGATGATCTCCGGATACATGCAGATGGCAAAAAGACAGTTCTCCAGGGATGATGTTATCCTATAGCCCAACCAGGTAAATCCAGTGGAGATTGATCCGATCATGCAGAAATTGTGGCAGATCTTCCCGGACCATCCTTAACCCCGATGTTGTCCACCTCCTTGGTGGCGGTGGTAGTGGTGGCCCCTATGTGAAAGCCTGGCGGAAGAGTTCCGTCTTACAGGCCCTGCGGAACTGCATAAGGTCCCGCAGGGCCTTGATCTCCTCCGGGAGCTCGTTCCACCAGGTAGGGGCCACCACTGAAAAGGATCTGGTCCTCGTCGCGGCGAGCCTTACTTCCCGGGGGTCTGGAACCACCAGGCGATGTTGTGCCCCAGACCAAAGTGCTCTTGGGGGTATATATGGGGAAAGGCGGTCCCTCAGGTAAGTTATCCCTGCAATTGGGCTGCCAACCTCTGCCCAGGAGCTGGAGATCTCCTGCAATTATAATGGATCTCCAAATTATAGAGATCAGGCCCCCTGGAGAAAATGGCTGCTTTGGAGGGTGGACTCTACGGCATTAGACCCCGCTGAGGGCCCCCTCCTTTCCCCCCAAACCCTGCCCTCCCCAGGATTTACCCCCAAATCTCCAGGAATTTCCCACCCTGGAGTTGGCAGCTCTGTCTTACCACAACCTTGTGGAGTAGGTTAGGCTGAGAGTGTGTGACCGGCCAAAGGCCACCCAGCCAGCTTCCATTGCAGAGCGAGGAGTTAGACCTGGTTTCCCAGTTCCTAGTCCAACACTCTAATAATGTAACTTCTACATCATGCAGCACATGAGCCATGCAAAACGCTTCCATTTGGGCTGGGTTTTTATTTGTTGTTGTTGTTCAGCCGCACAGTCGAGTCCGACTCTTCGCGACCCCATGGACCAGATCACGCCAGGCCTTCCGGTCTTCCGCCGTCCTCTGAAGTTTGCTCAACTTTTTTTTTATGCCCAGGGTTAAACCTCAAGTGAGTATTTGTATTTGTGAAGCCTTTATATAGTCCCTGGTCCACTGGGAAATTCTACGCAACTACAGCACTATGGTGTGTTGCCCCATTGCGCAGGACAACTTCTGGCGCGTTGCGTTCTCGCGTTCTTGCACGTGAAAGGTTGTTACTTGCTGCAAGCCTTTCGGGTGAACTGGGAATCAAACTCTGAACTGCAATCCCTTCTTGTTTGTTTTCGTTAGGGAGTAACAGGCCAAGAAGCAACATGAGTTGCCTGGAAGACGTACCTTTCAGAATGTCCTCGAGCTTCGTAGACGATGCTGTGCGAGAGGCAAACTTTGTGCGTGCCCCTGAGGTTGACATGCCCGACTGTGAAGAGATACTCACGTCCACAATGGTAAGTCGGTTGGCATTTTGGGGAGGGGGGTGTTTCCATGCAAGTTTAAAAGCAGCAACGTCGGCGGCTCTTCCGTCTTTCTGATCCCTTAAAAAGGTAAAGGTTCCCTTGCTCGAAAGCCAGTCGAATCCGACTCTAGGGTTGCGGTGCTCATCTCCGTTTCAAAGCTGAAGAGCCAGCGCTGTCCGAATACGTTTCCGTGGTCATGTGGCCGGCATGACTAAACACCAAGGTGCACAGAACGCTGTTCCCTTCCCACCGAAGTGGTACCTATTTATCTACTTGCAATTTCTTGCTTTCGAACTGCTAGGTTGGCAGGAGCTGGAACTAGAGACAGGCGCTCACCCCGTCTTGCGGCACCCGGGTCTTGAACTGCTGAACTACTGACCTTTCACAGCCTGCAGTTCAGCGTCTTAACCACTTGAGCCAAAGCAGCTCCTTCTGATCCCTTAGAACTTTTCATTTTCCAATGAAATTTTATGAGGACAATTTTATGGGTACCTCGGACCACCAGAAAGACAAATGAGTGGGTTCTGCATCCAATAAAGCCTGAGTTCTCCCAAGAAGCTAAAAATAACTAATCTGGGGCTATCGTACTTTAAGGTTCCCAACCTCCAGGTGGTGGCTGGAGCTCTCCCACTATTAGAGTCAGTCTGGTGTAGTGGTTAGGAGCGCAGACTCTAATCTGGGAGAACCGGGTTTGATTCCCCACTCCTCCAAACATGCAGCTGCTGGGTGACCTTGGGTCAGACACAGTACTTGCAGAGCTGTTCTCTCAAGTTCTCTGAGAGCTCTCTCGGCCCCACCTACCTCACAGGGTGTCTGTTGTGGGGAGGGGAAGGGAAAGGAGACTGTAAGCCACTCTGAGACTCTTGGGTAGTGAAGGGCGGGGTATAAATCCAATCTCCTCCTCCTCCTCCTCCTCCTCCTCCTCCTCTTCTACCCAAAGGAGTCTCAGAGCGGCTTACAAACTCCTTTCCCTTCCCTTCCCCGCCCCACAACAGACACCCTGTGAGGTAGGTGGGGCTGAGAGAGCTCTGACAGAAACTGTTCTTTTTCAAGGACAGCTCTGACAGAACTATGGCTTGCCCAAGGTCATTCAGCAGGTGCAAGTGGAGGAGTGGGGAATCAAACCCGGTTCTCCCAGATTAGAGTCCGCGCACTTAACCACTACACCAAACCACTGACCTACTTTACGGAGTTGTAAGCATTGCCTCTGGATAATTTATTATTTTATTAATGACTTCATTTGTACTTTGCCTTTCTCTCCATTGGGCCCCCAGAGGCTGCTTATGTCATTCTCCTCGTCTCCCATTTTTATCCTCACAACAACCCTGTGAGGTGGGGTAGGCTGAGAGAGAGTGACCGGCCCACGGTCACCCAGTGAGCTTCCATGCCAGAGCAGGGATTCAAACCAATCTGACCCCAACCCCTACACCACACTTGCTTTCTAACGAATGTGAGCCCTCGAAAATACTCTGCAAATGTTGGATTAAAACATGTCTGAATGTACGCGCTAGACGACAAAGAGCAATTGAAGCGCATCTTTTGGGGGGTTGTGTTTCCTGATGAATTCGAGTCAATCTGTGATGAATTACTTCTTCGCGAGGCCCTTTGAAGTGTGTTTTTATAACATTCTTCATAGCATTGTTCCAAAATACGATGCTTACATATCTCCTAGGTTACAAATATTGCCAGTGGGGCTTCGAGCATTGTATGGAGATGACCTCTTAGTAGTCTGGAAACTTTGGGTTGGAAACCAAAGCAATCCTCGTCTCCCCACCCCCCCAATGCCGAACTGCATCTTTAATACATTTCCTCCAGCAGAGCACGCCAATGTACTTTTTTTTTTTAAGCATCGCTTTAGGAATCATCTTGGCACATCTGTTTGTATAGTTAGGCTTTGAGAAGATGAAGCAATTTTAACAAATTGCTCCCCCCCAGTTATTTTCTCCTTGGCGCGGGTCTGTTGTATCCCTCCCCAACTGCTTCAAAGCAGACAAATCCGTCAAGGTACAAAACAAGGGAAATGTTATGTTATTTGCAAGGGTTGTTTCGTAGAAAAAGAGCTAGGGGGACTCATTAGCATATGCCACACCCCCTGACATCACCGGAAGTGTGTCATAAGGTCACACCCCCTGACATCACCGGAAGTGTGTCATAAGGCCACACACCCCGCCCCCAACGGTCCCGGCCGCCACCGCCAGCCTTGCAGCTCCACTGCCGAGCCCCGTGAGGGGCCCAGCGGTGGACCTGCAAGGCCAGCGGGAGTGCAAGGAAGCCCCGCGAAGGCCCTCCCTGGCCCCAGGCAGGCAGGGGTGGGGAGAGGCGGGGAGGAAGCAACTTACCCTCCCTCTTCTCCTGCCTCCTCCTGGCTGAATGAGGGCCGTAAGCGGGGCAGCCAGAAGCAGGGGGCGGGGCTTCGTCGTGCCCCCCCGAAATGACCTCTGGTTATTTGTGTTGGTGGCGTCAACTGAAAGGCTGCGAAAGTTTTTGGAAGTGCACCAAAATCTTTGTCAGAAAAATGGTGCCGTTGAAAGACCTGACAAAACCGTGCGCCAAAGTTAGAAGTCTATATTGTCGTCCTGATTTGGGTAGCCCAGGCAACCCCCATCTCATCAGATCTCAGAAGCTAAGCAGGGCTGGGCCAGGTTAGTACTTGGGCGGGAGACCTCCAAGGAATACCAGGGTCGTGACGCAGAGGGTGGCGATGGCAAGCCACCTCTGAACGTCCCTTGCATCCAGGCCCCCACAGGGGTCATCAGAACTCAGCTTGACTTGATAGCAAAAAAAGAAGTCTGTGTTGTCAACTTGCGATACAAAAAAGAAATATAATGCTAGAACTTGATATGAGTGACTTGGAAGCACCCAATGGAGCTGACGGCCCATAGATACAGGGCAGACAGGGGGGATTGCTCCTTCCCATGATGCATCGTTAACTTTGGGAACTCACTGCCACATGATGATATGACGGCAACTCACTTTGTGTGTGTGCAGTGCCTTTGAATCGCAGCTGGCTTCAGGCAACTCCAGCAAGGGGCTCTCAAGGCAGGTGAGAACAGGGGTCGTCTCGTTGAAAAAGAGGTGCAGGAGCTCATTAGCATAACTCATTAGCATAACTTGTTTGCATATGCCACGCCCCCTGACATCACTGGAAGTGTGTCAGAAGGCAACACCCACCACTCAGGCTCCACTGGACTGTTTTGGATTGCTAGCTATTGGGGGGGGATGTGCAGATCTGTCCTCACAGAGGAGGGAGAGCTTGTACCTGAATAAAACTTGGTCTTAAAGCTGCCACTGGACTGTTTTGGACCGGGGGAGCTGGGGGGGGGGGCTCTGCAGCTTACCTGGCTGTTTCTTGCTCTGACTGAGGGCTGCTGGGAGCAGGGGGTGGGGCTTGTTGCATGTGCCCGCCCCCCTGGGCTCTTTACTGCCGGAGCTCTGCCCCTGTGCGCTCCCGCAGGAAATGACCCCTGGGTGAGAAGCAGAGTTCAGTTACCATTGCCTTCCTCTGCAGAGTCTTCTCTGGTGGTCTCCCTTCCAAGTAGCAACCCGGATTAGCTTCCGAGATCAGATGAGATTGTCCCATACCATGCCGCCTTCCCTCTGGCCACTCACTTAGATGGCTTTAGAGAGGGACTAGACAGAGGAGGAGAGGGCAGTCAATGACTATTCACCACAGCTTGTGGCCTGATCGGAGGTCTTCTGGTGGGCATCTATTTGGCCGCTAGGAGAAACAGGATGCTGTAATAGATGGACCATCAAGCTGAACTAGAAGGAGGAGAGAGCGGCTGCGGAAGGATGCCGGTGCTCTTCTCTTCCCATCCAGAGCGATAGTCCGTGCATATGAGCACCTCCTTCCCCTTCTCGCTAAAGAGAACAAGAAGACGAACTTGAAAGGGAAGGATTTAAAAAGTTGTTCCAGCAGCACTGGAGGAGGGAA